GACAGTGGGATAGTTGTGTTTGAACCAAGAGGGAAGTGTTTTGAGGGGAATTACAGTACTGTAATGATTACATTTAAATATTCACCATATTTTCTATCACTCTGAATATTTGCAAGTGTTTTCTCCAAACTTGTGCTTAGTGGCACATGCCTCTAATCACAGCCCTCAGGAAGCTGAGGCAGGAGGACTGCTCTGAGTTCAGGGCCACCTGGGCCACACAGCAAGTTCAAGGCCAGCCTGAACTACACAGTGAGACCCTGTCTCAAAAACACCAAAAAAAAAAATTGAATTGGTTGAGCATAGTGGCACATGCCTGTAATTCCAGCTATTCGGGAGACTGAGATAGGAGAATCTGAAGTTCAAGGGCAGTCCTGACAACTCACAGATCCTTTCTCAGAATAAAAAATAAAACAGGCTGGGGATACAGCTCAGTGTTAGACTATCCCTCGGTTCAATTCCCAGTACCATGAAAAAAGAAAAAACAATAATAAAATTGTACACTTAAACTGTTTGCTATGCAAACTAAACCTCAATGATATTAATTTCAGGGGGGTACCAGGGATCGAACTCAGGACCTTGCACTTTCGAGACAGGTGCAGTGCCACTGAGCTAAATCCCCAGCCCCAGTGATGTTATTTTTTTAGAGAGATAATAATCAAAATTTTGTCTAAACACAAGACCATTAACATCTTTAGAGCTTAAATTCATTTATCATCCCATCCCTTATATTTAACAAAGTGTTTAAAAACCAAAATATCCACACCTATAATCCCAGCACTCAGGAGGCTGAGGTAAGAGGATCACCAAGTTTGAGGCCCGCCTAGCCTACATAGTGAGTTCAAGGCCAGCCTGAATTACATGAGACTGTCTCAAAAAACAAAACAAAAAAAAGATGAATGTTGAGCTAAAAAATGAACTTAGTCTTACTAAAAGGTTCCTGAAAAATAAAAACCGAACAATCCTAAACAATTTTACTAACCAGAGTTTTGTTTAGAGCCTGATGATCCTCCATGATCTACCTTTGCTTTCTTCTTCTTTGATGATGATGAAGACGATGACTCGGAAGGTAGTGAACGTTTTTCTACTACAGGAGTGGAAAGAGCTCGTTTTTTGAACAGTTCCCGTTCTCTTAGTAGACTTGGATCCATAATGCTGCAAAGATAAAAATATTTATAATTATTACATAAATAATACAAATACACTTCTTTTCCTGCAGTGCAAGAGATTGAACCCAGGGCCTCACACATGCAGGGAAACACTGCTACTGAGCTATATCCCCAGTTTAAAAATATCTTTAACACAGATTCAAGCCACTCAACCCTGTATGCCAAATCCTTATTTTCCAACTAAAATTACCTCTTATTATTCTCTAGCATTTGTTTTACTCATTTATTCATTCACTCAAAAAATAGTGCTTGTGGGGCTGGGGATTTAGCTCAGCGGTTTCGCTGCCTGCTCCGAAAGTGCAAGGAACCAAGTTCGACCCCGGGCACCAAAAAAAAAAAAAAAAAAATAGTGCTTGTTATGGGCTAGGAAGCAGTAGAGAAAAAAGAAACAATTTTTCTCTAAAGCTCTAGAACTGCGCTGTCCAATATGGCAACCAGCAGCCACATGCACCTATTAAGCATGCAAAATGTAGCTAGTTAGAACTGAGATGTACTTTAAGTACAAAACATACACTAGACTTCAAAGACTTAGAACAAAGAAAAAAATTTAATTATTGAGATACTTTATAGTGTTAAAGTATTTTATATAATGGATTCAATATGAAAATTTGGGCCGGGGATTTAACTCAGTGGTTTCGTCGCCTGCTGCGCAAGCACAAGGACCTGAGTTCAATCCCCACTACCAAAAAGAAAAACAAAAAACAAATCAATATGAAAATTAATTTCATCAACTTTTACTTTTTTAAAGATATAACTGGCTACTAGACAACACTGTCCTAGAAAAATCAGGACTACAGGGCAGAAATCAGAAGAGGCAAATTTAAGCTCATTACAAAAAAAAAAAAAATCAGAATTGCTTATAAATGAAACAGTGTAGTTTTAAAAACTAGTGAACTCAAGCACAAGGACCCGAGTTTGGTACCCAGTACCAAAAAAAAAAAAAAAACACTAGTGAACACTCATTCATTTACTAAAGAGACTGGGTTAATTATTTTATAAAAATGTATACAGAAAATTTCTGCTTTGGAGGGTGGTGGGACTAAATAACCTCTTAGACATCCCCCCCTCGACCCAATTCTAAAACTCTACTACAATAAGAAAATTCAAAGGACCAGGAAAGTTACAGGTCAATCAAGAATCTAAAAAATAATCTTAAACTGGGTGTGGTGGCACACGCCTGTAATCCTAGCACTCTGGAGGCTGAGGCAGGAGGATCGCTTTCAGTTCGAGACCAGCCTGGGCTACATAGTTCCAGCACAGTCTGAACTACATAGGGAGACCCTGTCTGAAAAAATAAATAAATAAATAAATAAATAATCTTTTCTGAACTCTCCCTAGCATCCTATCAAGGGTGTACAAAGAGCTCAAGCTAACTATATGAACACATTTGACAAGGTTGAAGCTGATGTTAAGCAGACGAAAAAGACTACGTTGTAGACATTCCTTGACTTACAATGTTGTTACACCTGCTAAACCCATCCTAAACTGAAAATGTATTTAGTACACCTAACCTTACTAAACATAGCTTAGCAACAGAGCCCACTGTGGATGATCAGCTATCTGTCCTCATGATGGTGCGGCTGACTGGGAGCCGAAAAGCCACTTCAGTTGACCAGCATCATCAGAGTCCAGTACCACAGGTCCCTAGGCCAGGGAAGAATAAAAATTCCAAGTACAGTTCCTACGGAATGTGTGTCACTTTCACACTATGGTACAGTAAAAAACATAAGTGCTTCTACCTGTACTTTGAAAATCTTTAAGCACAGGATACATCAATAAATATCTGCTTAGTAAACAAATGGAAAACACCTTTAAATTCCGCTAAACTTATTACTGATTTTGCAAGGCTTTAGTAAACAAATGGTACTTGCACTCTAAGCTTTCAAAGGTTCTAGAAAATAAATCCTTGCCTCCAAGCAAAGACAACCTGAAAGTGTTGAGAACCTTTTTTGAAAAACAATGAACAGGCCGGGGATTTGGGCAAGGACCCGAGTTCGATCCCTGGTACCAAAAAAAAAAAAAAAAATGAACCAAGGTGAATTGGGGACGAAAGTTAAAAATATAAGTACTGATAAGGAACAATCAGTGTGAATTTCAGATAGAAGGAAGGAGTGAAGAGTCTCGGACTTCTCTAGGTTTCAATTCCTAACAGCCAGCGATATGCCTCTGCAACTCCTACATTTCAACTCATTGTAAGTAAAATGAGGACAATACCAATGCTATAGACACCTGCCCCAAATGTAAAAATAAAATACTAATGAAAATGATTTTTAAAATTTAAAACCATGGAAGTATGTTATTTCAGTATTACTATTTGATAAGAAATAAAATTATTAATTCTGGGGTGAGGGAGGTGAGAAACACCATTGAGCAAGGGAAAGTGTAAGGACAAGAAAAGAAAAAGAATTCACAAGCAAGAAAATGAAGGAAACGCGCGGGTTACAAACTCCAAGACCGGGAAACATTTGTTTATTCCACCTTGAAAAGACAGATAATCCAGAATTTTAATAATGACTTTAAGGCATTAAAAGCTGTACAGTTCACAAAAACCGAAATGTTTACAGTCTTTGATCTTCCTAACTCTAAGCGAATAGGTACTAGTGTTACTACGTTTAATACATGTAATCTGAAATGAAGTAGTACAGTTAAGGTCATACACCTCGAAAAAGCAGGATGTCATGACTCCTAGTCAAGTGCTCCTTACCCAAGACCTGGAAAGCAAGTAAATGTCTCTAAAACAAAGGTCACCCATGTGGGGCAAGAAGGCTCAGTGGCACCTCGAGCAGAAATGTTAATAATGTCTTTCAAAGTCCCATGCGCCACCTAACTTCTTTTTCAAAGAGTCTACTCAATATACGTATGAGATCTACATCTCAGTACTGACCTGAGCAGTAAACAGGACACATCTCCATATCTGTTTTACATTTCTTAAAAATAAATAAAACACCTACCACAACTCAAGACAGCTCGCGTGTTTCTCCGTGGACACTGAGAAGCAATAAACTAAAATCTTGGCCTCCACAGCCCACGGATCTCTCCCCTAACTCGACCTCTTGGCCTTTCTTTTTTCTCTTTTGCTTCTTTCCTAGCTGGAGCCCCAGAGAAGTCACTGGCACCTAAGCACACAACTGTGAATAGCCGGGAGCCGAGGAGAACAGGCTGGTAGCCTCTTAAGAAATTCAGAAGATGAAAAAGACCACAGATCTGCGTTGGAAAACGTCTTCAGACTCTGCTGAAAACAACCGCTGCAATTAAAGTTAGGAATCATTACAAACTACACCTCCAAAAGGCAGGTGAAAAACCAGTCCATGTGTCAGCCCCTAAATCAGAGCCCTCAGCTGGACACCGTGGATGTCCAACTACACACACGTTTCTCTCGGCTAAAATCAGCTCCCTGACTGAATTTTACCTTTTCCCCCCCAAAAGTTTGCTCAATGAAACTCCGGCCTAAAGAGACAATGCTCCCAAGCGAACAGTTGGCGTGTTGAAGTGTTTGGCTTAAGAACAGCAGCCGCAGCCTCTTTCGGCGTGAAGGACACGTTCGCCCCCTCGGGGAATGGAGGCAACGCGTCCCCAGCCGAGGAACTCCCAGCCCCGCTCAGCGACCTCAGCCGCGGCCACAGCCCCTACCTGAGTGAGGTGGGCAACCTCACGCGACCCGCCGGCGCCTCCCCGCGACTCCGACTGGGCCACCCGCCCACGCCGGCACGGCCTCAGCTTCCTGCTCCTCGTCAGCGCCCCCGCCTGCCCGCCCAGCGTTAGCCCGCCAGGTCAGGGTCTCCCCACAGGCGCTGCCGGTACAGCGAGCAACTCGGCCCCGGTCTCCGCCCGCCACTTCCTGACCCGGCTGCTAGACACTCAGTCCCGTCAGCCACCGCGGCTCCTTCGCTGCCGAGAATGCGCGTGCGTAATTTTGTGCCCTGCCCCGGGCCTCCCGGGTGGGGGCGGGGCCAGCAGGGCGTCCTGAGTCTCCATGACAACGGAGGGTGTCGGGAGGCTAAGCAGAGAACCAGGTGAGAGAGGTGTCGGGTAACGCGCGCTGTCGAAAATGGAAAACACCTTTCTTTGCAGAAAATCAAACTGCGAGCTCTGGAATCTAACTCGTCTGGCGACTCAACCTTTCAACATTTATTTTGTGACGACGTTAAATAACACCAACACCTGAACTTCAGAAAATATCCCAGCTCTCTTTTGCAAGCGAAAAAAGAAGAAAAACAACAACAACAACAACAACAACAACAAAAACAAGCGAGGCTAGCAAAGGGAAATCCTGACATAGAGCCCAGCTTCTAAACTCCAACCCGGGCCCTGTCCACAACTGTGAACTGTCTAAGTAAAGGACTTTAGATTTAGAAGCATCATTAAGGGGTGAAAATAACGCAACAAAAACCAATCTTTGGCCTTACCTACGCCCTGCAGCGGTTCTTTCCTGACTGTTGGGACCTAACACAGCACCATAGCTAGTGCTCGACTATTCTGTAGCTGTCGTTTAATTACTACTGGTTACTCCTTAAATTACTTAATCTGTGTTTTCTCATCTGGAAAGAGGATCATAATTGCACTAGTGTAGCAGCAAACGGTAAACACCAAAAGGCACCCAGGACTTGGAGGCAGAAAGCAAACTTTATTAGGTAGCTGGGCCTGGTTGGGTTAGGCCCTCAAGGAGGAATTTGCTGGGGCTGAAAAAAATAAAACTGCTTATGCCAACGTTATCCTGGACTGGTGTCCCACCTGTCTGTCAGACTTTTTATTTTTCTGTCTCACTAGTACTGTAATGGATTACTTGCGCTGGAATGTGGTTACAATTAAATAATACCTAAATTTGTTATTCAGATTTTTAAAGGCAAAAGATGATGTCTGCCCTTTTTTTAAGACAGGGTCTCTCTATGTAATTCATGCACCATCATGCGTGGCGATCTTTTAATTAGTTTCATACTAGAGGGTTTTGTAATAAACCCATGTGATAGTCATCTGATACCCCAGGAAATATAACCTTGCCTGAATAATCATTAATTAGGACCCAAAAAGTCTCACAACCTGATAAAGTCAGAAATTAACTGGTAGGAAAGTGATAAAATGTAATGAGGAGAATAGGGTGGGATCCATACAAAAACATAATCCCAGGGGTTGATTGCATCATCCTGAGAAACTTGTAGTTTTGTATCAATTTAGAAGTTTTAATAAACATTGCTTTCTCTCACGAGTGTATATGAATCTCAGTTTCTTATATCCTCATGGAATTCTTTCTGTCATTCTGCTGGCTCCCTCTTAAAGTACATAATGGACAAAATTGCAGACATAATGTACAAATGGACAAAAGCTAGACCACATATGATAAAACGCTCACCCACATAAACCAAACCACAACCTCTACAACAAGCAGCTCAAAATAGAATTTATTCAAGAAAGCATCCAACTTTCTAATTTTAGCTTTATACCAGCACAAACTGAAGAAAGCTGAATATGTTCCCCAAAACAACTACGTAACATTTCATAGTCTACCAGCAGCTCCCTGCCAACAACTTTAATCAGAACATATCAGAAGCACCCCCTCCTCATAAAGCTTCTTCTCCCCCTGATTGCCTTTGAGTCTGCTAAACTCAAGTAATGGTGGCTGCCTCCCTTGCCTATAGCAAGCACTACATAGTCTTCATTCTCATGTGGAGAGTTCATTTCCACTTGTATTAAATAAAATTTGACACATGCTCATTATCAATTCACTTGATAATTAGAAATTTATTAGAGTGCTTTTACAGAACTAAACCTACCACACAGAAAGCACTCAGTTAATGCTCCCAACAATTCCTTTCTCATATTAGCCAGTTGGAACAACTAAGCTAGAGACAACATCAGAACATATTATTTGTATTCCAGATTCCCAAATTTCAAATGCCCCTCCTTTACCCAGATATTAGCATTATTTTCACTGAAACCCTAACACACACACCCCAGCAAGACCTATTACAATATGTCAATGATGTATGTTTCAAATCAGTAATATCACTCCCTGCTTATACTGCTTGTGGCCTGCCACTAGGCAATAACACAGAAAGCAATGCCTTCATTGTTCTAGCACTTTTGGGTAATATCCTGTACCCTGATGTTACTCAAGTAAAGACAAAAATGGAAGAAAAAAGGCAAAACTGGGCTAACTCTAGGGCCTGTATTTAGGCTGTTCTCCTGTCAGAAGTAAATTAAAACAAAACAAAAAGATTTCTTTTGCTGGTAATGTTGACTACAAGGACCAACTTGTTTCCAAATATCAGCCCAAATTAACTTGATCTCAGAGAGCCCAATATTTGGAATAAAACATACAGTTTTTAATCCTGCCTTCTCATCCTTATTACCAACTCTAAAACCATCTGGATTTCTTCTAAGGCATCCTGTAGCCAAGGCTTAAGGAGGGCACAGAAAAAAAATCCCACTATGAAGTAAAGGACATGGCTATTTATAGATTCTATTATATATACTGTACATACAATCTCTACTACTGATGCTTAAATAAACCTGTATATTAATTAAAACCACCTCCCTATTGGCACCCTCAGGATGTCCAGGTCAGAGGGTGTGGCCAGTGTCAAATTATATGAAGAACTATCCAAACAACTAATAAATACTGTGGCACTTTGTCTTACCTCCTGGATGCTTATAATATCCTGCATAATCTTTGGTAGAAAGTATGGTGGCCTCTTTAGGAAACAGAATTTGTAAATTTTATACTAAGGTTGTGGGCTGAGGGTATGGCTCAATGGTAGAGCGCTTACCGAGCACATGAAGCCCTGGATTCAATCCCCAGCACCACACACAGAAAAAGAAATCAGAACTTTATTCTTTTGTATGTAGTGGCTTAATTTTCCATTCTAATTATTCAAAAGAGGAAAATTCTGACATCAATAGCTGCCTTCAACTCCCCTTACTTGTTAATCGTCTCAACTAAGTAGATACCTAAATTCTCAAAATAGTCAACAAAACAAATTAGTTTGTATTCGTACAAACAAGAGCTAAAGCACTTTATGCTTCATCTGTCTGGAATGTTCTTCATCTGTTCTGGAATGTTAATACTCTCCTCCCTTGGAAACTTTTCCCCTGCTTTCCCACTCAGCCTGTCCAGTCCTAAACATAACTTCCCATGACTCTGATACCTTCTTAAGCATTCATCCTCTATCAAACTTTCTTCAAAGAGCCAATATTAGCCATTAACCTTCAAGGATTAAAATATTGGCATGGTAGACAACTAAACTAAATATATTTCTTACCACTTTGTAGTTATATGAATTTTCGTCAGTATTTAATCTTTCTAAACCTATGCTTCCTCATCTGTAATGCAAAGGATTAACTTAGATAAAGGTAAAGCACTCAGTATGGTGTGTGGACTACAGAATGTAGTCATTAAATTATAAGCATCATAAGAACCCAACTCCTTTTTGAAGGTCACTAGTAATTTCCCAGTTGTCAGAGTTGATGACTCGCATGGTAGGTTGCATAATTATTCATAATTGTCCACTTCCTCTTTCAGAGCAACGATTATATTTCCCATCCTCTTGCACACTAGGAGTGGCACATGACTGACTTCTTTGGCTAATGAAATATCAGCACAATAACATGGTTCCATGTCAGACATGGTGGCACATGCCTCTAATTCCAACAGTTGGGAGGCCCAGGCAGAGTTTGAGGCTAGCCTGAGCTTCTGCCTCAAAAACAAACAAACAAACAAAAAAACAGCCTGTAATCCCAGCACTTGGGAGGCTGAGGCAGTAGGATTTCGCTGAGTTCAAGGTCAGCCTGAACTACATAGGGAGACCATCTCAAAAAAAGAAAAAAAAGGGACATCCAAGGAAAAGCTTTAAGAACGAGCTTGTAATTCACTGTCTTACTTGTCCCTCAGCCATAAGACCCTGCAACGCTCAAAACTAGGGCACTCTGTCAGTCCTCTTCCTAGAGGGAAGATGACCTGTGACCCACCCACAACAGACAAGTCACATGCATGAGAAATAAACTCTGTGGCTGACAGCCTTAGCTTGATCACTGTGAGTGCACTAAAATTTAGAGAAGAAACAAGAAAGTTGTTTCTCCAAGTATTACAGATAGCTAAGTTAGTCAGAAATTATTATAAGGCAGTTGGATAAAGCTGGGCCCTCAGCATAGAAAAATAAGTGAGGCACATGCACTGATCAGCATTATAAAAAGAGAAAAGGTATTCCACCCAAATACTTCCCCTGGAGATAAATAGCAGTGATTAATATTCTAAATACGCATCAATCTCTCTGGCCCATTTCCTTTCTAGAAATTCCTTGTTCATTCTATGCACGCTTGCTAAGTGATTAGTTTCCCTAGTTAATCCCCATTTAATCAATATTACCTGAATGACTGAATTTATAATCTCATTGGTTAATTATAGTTTTGTCCCACCTTATGCCCACACTGTGATTTCCCATTGGATCTTCTTAGTTGACTATAGTTTTGTCCCAGCTTGAACCTGCCTCACTTTGTGGCTTTGCTCAATAAAATGCCTTTGAGAAAGTGACCAGACAACCCACTTTCTGGTCCCCTTTCTCTCTTAGACAGAAGCTATCTTGCTCTCAATAAATTTTTTCTACTCTTAACCTCCGTTGTTCCTAGAATTCATTCTTCGATTTTAGAGACCACAAACTCCTGTTTCAGATATCTAGCAGGTTGGGAGTTATAATATTTCCCTTGTTTGTATTATTTTTGCTTATTTGGATTACTTGGTGCCTATATCCCAAGTACCAACCTGGGCTCCTTTGAATTCAAGTCTTTTTTTTGTTGGTACCTGGAAACAAACTCAAGATTTGCAAGGCAGGCAGCGGAATTCAAGTCTTTTTTTGGTTTTGTTCATTTTGTTTTTGGTACCGGAGATCGAACTCGGGACCTTGCGCTTGTGCGGCAGACGCCAGAACCACTGAGCTAAATCCCTGGCCCTCAAGTCTTTTTAAGCAGACTAGTCTTCCTCATGTAGAATCTAGTTAGACTCTTCCCCTTGAAATGCCATCCTTTTCTTAAATCTGCCTTCTAGCATGAAAGCCAGCTACTGCAATAGCTCCTTGCTCGCCAATGTCCTCACTGGCATTTAGAACAAGACCATATTCACACAGTACATCCAGCAAACCTACAAAAAGGCTAAACTGTAGGCTTCTGAGGGATCGTGGACTCATTCTCATCCTTGGGATTTATTCCTTCTGTAGCCATTTGGTGGATCTAAATCCTTTTGGGGACTTTAACCTCTGGGTTTTATTTTTATTAGTACATGCTTGAAGTACATAATGTTTACATTCCTTGTGTGGAGTTGGTACATGTACATAACACATATTAATTCCTTTTTTCTTCTCCTTTCTCTTCCATCTTTTGATCACCTTTCCATTTGAAAAAGATCTGTCTCCCTACTTCCTGTTATTTATCTTTTATTTTGCTCTACTTGTATTTTGGGTTTCTGCCAGGGATGTAGCTCAGCAGCAACATGCCTGCCTTGCAAGCACAAGGTCCTGAGTTCAATCCCCAGTATGGAAAAAAAAATATGTATTTTGGATTTCTCATATAAGAGAAACCATGTGATATTTAA